AGCAGGGAGCCCGATGCGGGACTCGATCCCGGGACTCCAGGATCACGACCCGAGCCGAAGGCAGTCGCCCAACCAACTGAGCCACCCAGGCGCCCCCAGAGTATTTCTTAATAGGGATTACCACAAATTATCTATTCAATCCCATATTATTGGATATTTAAGTTTCCAGCTTCTGTTGTAGACAGTGCTACAGTAAACATTCTTGGGACTAAATTTTAACATGCATTTCTGATTATTTTCTCGGGATACATTCCTACTACTTGAATTTCTGGGTCAAGTACTATGTACATTTTAAAGGTTTTATATATGCATTGCCAAAATACCCTCTGTCATCTAATTCTTATGACCCATAACTCCTAAGCTTTTAAGGTTGTTTTTTTTTTTTCAAATTTAAAATGGAGAGGCTTTTTTTTTTTTTTTTAGTGTCAGGATGCCGATTTATTAATTTATAAAGAGAGATCCAGCTATCGAATGTTGTGTTGGTATTTTCATTGCATTTCTCCCTGAAGTCCATTTATATGGGAAGCCAGGTCATAACCCAACATTGCTTTATTAATTTAGCATGAGAAACTATTGTCCTGGGGACCACAGCAGCTGATGTGTGTGTGACCAGGGCATGCTTTTATTATAGGAAGGGCCTCAGAGATACTGTGGGTTTGGTTCCAGACCACCGTCGTAAAATGAATAGTGCAGTAAAGCATATCAGATGAATTTTTTGGTTTCCCCATGCATATAAAAGCTGTGTCTACACTCTAGCCTGTTAAGCGTGCAATAGCATTATGTCTAAAAAGCAGATTCGCATCTTAAGTAAAAAGTTTATCACCAACAAATGCTAACCATCATTTGAGCTTTCAGTGAGTTGTAATCTCTGATCACAGATGACCGCAGCAAACATAATAATAACAGAAGCCTTTGAAATATTTTAAGAGTTACCAAAATGTGACACAGAGGCAAGTGAGCAAACGCTGTTGGGAAAATGGCCCCGATACACTTGCTTGACACAGGGTGACCATTAAGCCTTCAATTTGTAAAAAAAATGCAGTGTCTACAAAGTGCAATAAAGCGATGTGCAATAAAATGAGATAAGCCTGCGTTTGTAAGCCAGATCACGAGCGGAGGGTCGATTTCTGAGTCTGAAACTTTCCCAGAGAAATCAGCAGACAAGTGATATCCTCAAAGAGTCCATCTCCTGCTGGGATGAGAAGGTAGACTTCTGGCTCCAGGGCTGAACCTGGAACCTCTGAGCATAAAGAGCTTCCCACCAGGATTTAGAGGTTTGCCACTATTGATCATACCATGCTCTCATTTATTTTGTTTTGTTTTAAAGATTATTTATTTGAGAGAGAGAGAGAGAGGCAGGGAGAGGGGCAGAGGGAGAGGAAGAGAGAGAATCCTCAAGCAGACTCCTGGCTGAGCGTGGAGCCCAATATGGGACTCGATTCCAGGACCCTGAGATCATGACCTGTGTTGAAATCAAGAGTTGGATGCTTAACCGACTGAGCCACCCAGGTGCCCCTCATTTGTTTGTTTTAAATAATTAATTAATTGATCAATCCAGACGAATGTTTGTGTGCCTCCTTGTGCTCCAAGCCCTGGGTGTTAAGTAATTTACAAAACATGTCTGATTTCTTTCCTTTTTTAAAAGAAATTGTTATTTTAAATTTTCATTAAAAAGCAATCTGGGAGGGGTACGACCTATTTGTAGATGAGCAAAGAGGTAAGAATTACATCTGAGTTCTGGGAAACCATGAACAAGCAAGCAGAGGGTGAAATGAATTAAAGTTTTTAATTTTAATTTTTCAATTTTTTTATTTGGATATAGTTGACATACAATGTTACGGTAGTTTCAGGTGTGCAACTTAGCGATGAGACAAGTTTATACCTTGTGCTCGGCTCACCGCAAGTGTAGCTGCCATCTGTCAGCATTCGGTGCTATTATAGTATCATGGGCTACATTCCTTATGCTGTGCCTTCTCTTCCTGTGACCCTTCTTTCCATAACTAGAAGCCTGTCTCCCCTTCCCCTTCCCCCATTTTGCCCATTCTCTTCCCTTCTCCCTTCAGGTAACCATCAGAGAACAATACAGTTTGTTCTCTGTATTTATAGGTCTGATTCTGCTCTTTTTTCATTTTTTTTTCCTTCTTCCTCTTCCAGTCCTCCTCCTCTTCTTCTTCTTCTTCATCTTCTTCGTCTTCTTCTTCGTCTTCTTCTTCTTCGTCTTCTTCGTAGGCTCCATGCCTAGTGTGGAGCCCAAAGCAGGGCTTGAACTTACAACCCTGAGATCAAGACCTGAGTTGGGGTCAAGAGTCAAGACGCTTAACCAACTGAGCCACCCAGGAGTCCTTGATTCTGCTTTTTGTTTATTCATTTGCTTTGTTTTTTAGATTTCACATATAAGTGAAATCATATGGTATTTGTCTTTCTCTGATTTATTTCACTTAATGTGGTACCCTCTAGGTCCATCCTTGTCATAAATGGCAAGATCTCATCTTTTTTTTTTTATGGCTGTGTAATATTCTGTTCTCTCTTTCTATTATACACACACACACACACACACACACATATGCCCCACATCTTCCTTATTCATTCATCTATGGATGAACACTTTGGTTGCTTCCATGTCTTGGTTACTATAAATAATGCTGTAATGAACACAGAGATGCATATATCTTTTTGAATGAGTGTTTTTGCTTTCTTTGGGTAAGTATCCAGTAGTGGAATTATTGGGTCATATGGTATTTCTATTTTTAATTTTTTGAGGAGCCTCCATGCTGTTTTCCACAGTGGTTGGACCAATTTACACTCCCACCAGCAGTGCACGTGGGTTCCCTATTCTCCACATCCTCACCAACACCT